TCCTTTATGGAAAGAGCTGGCCTGCTTGCCCTGCCTGGCTGCCCTGGCCTGGGCCCAGAAGCTTCCGGAAGGCCCCAAGAGGCTGCCTGTGTACAGCAGCTACTGGGCTGCTGGGCCTCGTTCGGTTGGGCGCCCAACTGTCTCTGTATGAGGCTGCGATTCACGCCCAGGGCCTGCATTCTTTGGAAAAGCCCAGAGGGCCGTGGAAATGTCTTTGCGGCCCGGCCTGAGTTTCTCTCAACCAACTGGCGCATCGCAACTGCCTGGACCCCAAATATGAAATTGACAGTAGGGGGCCTCTTGCGATATGTTAGGCCCGCCTTCACTTAGGGCGGGCACCTCCGCCTTCATTTAGGGCGGGCAATGCTGCAAACAAGGCCCCTTAGGTCTACCGAGGACCTTGATCCTCGCATTCCCTCCTCCTTTACTTCGTTAGTCCTCTGAGAAGTCTCTTACTCTGCAGGCATCTTCCCTTTTCGTTCTCTTTCATAGCCTGCAATCACTTGAGGTGCTGTTCTCATGAGTTCCTCTCGTGTGAACCAGCGATCTTCCTTGGGATCGAGGTGATGTCTGAAGCTCACACGATACTGCATTCTCGGTTTAGGAGGGCGCCCTGTGCGTGATGGTCGAGGAACAGGCATCATTTGATGCTCCACAATCTGATCGATGTCCACCTCGCCGTCCATGGTTGGGGGCAGCATTGATCTTCTTGAAGGAAACTGCTCCGTAGCAGCGAAAGGTGCCAACTTGGAAGCATGGAACACAGGGTAAGTGCGTAGGTGTGCAGGAATACGGATCACGTATGAAGGCCCATCTGGTTGATCCCCTACAATGTCCAAGATCTCCCAGGGCCCAAAATACTGTGGCATCAGTTTTCTGGATATACCCATCTCCTGACCTAGTTCAGATGACTTTACCCAGACTCTATCACCTACCTGAAAGTTAGAGGGCCGTCTATGCTTATTCTCAGATGCAATCATAGCATCCTGAGACTTCCTAATATGTTCAACGGCCTGCTGCAGCATCTGCTCATATTTGACAACAAAGTCTATGCTGCCAGGTGCTGCAGTGGGTTGTCTTTCTGGTAGCAGAAAGTCAAGTGCAGTTTTGGGCTTCCAACCAAGATGTAACTGGTTGGGAGTCATACCGGTAGTACTGTGCACAGCATTGTTATACAGGCTGGCGACGAGTGGTAACTTCTCGTCCCAGTCATCCTGACTTGGCTTAATATAGTTCCGAAGCAGGTGCTGTAGTACCCGGTTCATCTGTTCTGCCTGGCCATTTGACTTAGGGTGGTTCCTTGAGGTCATTTGGAGTTTTGTGCCCATCCGTTCAGCGGTCGACTGCCACAGTTCACTTGTGAATCTCACATCCCTATCACTAACGATAGATGTAGGCAAACCGAAATCACGTACCCAATTATCCATAAACAGTTTGATGACTTGGTCAGTTTTAGCACTTTCAGGCATAGCGATTAGTCTGGCATACTTAGAAAAACGATCCACTATAACAAAGATGTGTCTCTTTCCAGATCTGCTGGTCACAAGGGTGTCCATAAAATCCATAGACACACTTTGACCTGGTCCTTCAGGAATCGGCAAGGGCTTGATCAGCCCAAGCGGTGCCTGAGTCCTTGGTTTGTCCCTTTGACAAACCTGGCAGGTTTCAACATAGTGTTTTGCATCTAACATCATAGAGGGCCACCAGAATCTCTGTACTAAGTTCGCTGATGTCTTCTTGTATCCAAAATGACCAGTTGCATCATGGCATTGTCCTAAAAATCAACTACGCAAAGACTCACTATTGGGAACACACAGCCTTTTATTCCCTGCCTTTTCAAGAAACAGCAAGCCGTCTACCATCGCAAATTTGTCCAAAGTCTTTTTAACCTTTGCCTTGAATCTACGGATGATCTCAGACATGACTGGATCTTGCTGATAGGCGTCCACCAATGATCGAGTCAAATCGCTAGATATGCCAAACTCAGTCACTAGTGCGCCCTGATAATCCGCCCGGCAAGATAACGCATCAGCCACTTTGTTGTACTCTCCCTTGATTGGATCAAGTTGATAGTCATACATGTCTATCACTTGAATCCATCGCTTCAATGCGTCAGAGAGTACTGGTTGTGTCTTAATCTAGCGCAAGGTCTCATGGTCAGATCTCACATAGAAGAATCTGCCAAGGAGATAGTGTCTCCAATGTACCAGCGCTCTGTACAGGGCATAGAGCTCACGCTCATAAGTGGACTTAGCTAGTTTTTGAGATGGCATCTTTTTGCTCATGTACTCGATAGGTCTCAACTTGGGCCCCTCCTTTTGCGCAAGGACCGCGCCTATGCCATATTAGCTGGCGTCTGTGGTCACGACAAATGGCTTGTCAGGATCAGGAAGTTTAAGAACCTCATAGTGTGTCAGGGCGTACTTCAGTTTCCTAAAGGCCGCCTCACACTCTTCAGTCCACTCCCAAGGGGTGTCCATACGAGTTAGATCTATCAATGGGGAAGCTATAGTACTATAGTTCTTCACAAACGGACGATAGTAGCCCGTCATCCCCAAAAACGATCTGACCTCAGTAACAGTCTGAGGTCTGGGCCAGTCACGTATGCTGGCCACCTTAGCATCATCCGGCCTCAATCCATCTGCTGATATTTCATGACCCAAGTACAGGATCTTGGTGCGACCAAACTCGCGTTTCTCCAAGTTAACCTTGTATTGGTGCTGTCTTAGGAGACCTAGCACTGTTTTCAAGTGCTCAGCGTGCTCCTCTACAGTCCTACTAAAGAGGAGAATATCATCGAGGTACACGACGATAAACTTGTCCAAGTAGTCATGAAAAATCATGTTCATCGCGTGTTGGAACGTACCAGGTGCATTGCATAGTCCAAAGGGCATCACCACAAACTCGTACAGACCGTACCTGGTCTGAAATGCGGTTTTGTGCTGATCCTCAGGCCTAATGGCAATTTGATGGTATCCGGACTTCAGATCTATCTTGGTGAAGTACCGACATCCCTGCACTCTATCCAAGAGGTCGTCGATGCGGGGTCGGGGCTCCCCGTTCTTAATGGTGATGGCATTGAGGCCCTTATGGTCAATGCACATCCTCAAGGTACCTCCCTTCTTCGGTACGAATAGGACTGGAGCGCCGTAAGGGGAGTTACTAGGCCGAATCCATCCCTTCTCTGTGAGCTCCTTGAGCTGGCGGCGAAGCTCATCTAACTCCACAGGAGACATCCTATAGATTCGTCCTCTAGGCACCTTGCTACCTGGGACAACCTCTCTTGCATGGACAACCTCCCTTTCCACCACGCCTGTGGGCTCCTAAAAAAGGTCTGAATATTGTGCGACGACTGATTTTATCTCTAGGGGTGTTTTAACGGCCTCCCCTTTCTCAGAGACAAATACTAGATACATGCCCTCCTCGCGATTCTGCTTATAATAGTTATAGAAGGATGATGCACACATGCACCCGTAGTTTTCTATTAGACTGCTAGCTTTGAACTTTTGCAATCTAACAGATCTACCGTTGGGCAATTTGTGAATCAATACCTTTCTATCCCAGTCAAACTGCGGTTGCGCGACCTCGAGGTAGTACATACCTAGGAGCATATCGAAGGGCAGTTCGTCGCTAACCAGGAAGGAGATTTTATAGCTCACTTCCTCTCCTCCATAGGAGAAGGTACAAACTACGTCCTTGACATAGTCTTTTACCAACATTGGTGCTTGTTGGCCAGCGTAGAAGCTACAATTCTGCAAAGCCGCTGCACTTGGTCCCCTAAGCGCAGTCTATCCACACAAGCACGACTGATGAAATTTCGCGTAGAGCCTATGTCTGCGAAGGCGCCCACTTTTGGGCCACCTACATCAACTTCTACCACAAAATGTTCATCCTTTGGACCTCTACTTATCGTCGCCCAAGAGTCCCTGGGGTCCTTCCCTGACCACTCAGTCTCTAACTCCTCTAGGGCCTCAGACACATCTCTCGAACAGAGCGTCGGTGGGTCTGAATGTGTCTGCGGGGCGATACGTGGGTCACTAGCCTTGGCCAACGCCTGAAGTGGGGAAGGCAACGTAACCACTTCAGCGCGAGTAAGAGCGGCTAACACTCCTACTGGCCCGAGGAGTTTTTTGAAGTGCTCGCAGAAGCACTGCCAGGGTTCGAAGATAAGCCCACCACTATTGGTGAGGCTACCCTCGTCAAGACTTTCTTGCCTCGACACGTTCTAGGTGGCCATAGTTGCCACAGTTCATGCACATGGCCCTAGCAACTCGGTCTCTCCACACCTCGTACTCTAAACCAAGCTTCACCCAGGCAGGTGTGCCTTGGTCGCCCTGACCCGTGGACCGTACTACCTTCTTTTTCTCGGTCCCCCTAGCCTTTTCCTTAATGGGTGCCACGACTCCCCCATCCGAAGTCTCACTAGCCCCATCATGCTCTGTCTCCTCCCCAAGGTCTGGGAAGTTGTCAATTTATGTCGCCTGACCATCATGATCGACGAACATTAGTTGACCTTTCTTTTTCCATTCCTGGGGTAGTCTCTTCTCCCTACCATCGCCCTGACTCTAATGCGCAGACCCCAACTTTGCCTCTATGTCCAGAGCTTTCTTACTAAAAGAAGCGAAGGTGTGCTGTTCAACATAGGCCTCATCAACCAGCTTGGTCCTTACCTTTGCAGGTAGGCACCTTAGGTAATCCGCCAGGAGAACCTGCTGGTCAAAACGCACACCAGGTACCACGAGTAAGCATTCTACGGTGTTTGTCAGCTTTCTAACATTTTTTGTACCTTCTGGCACAAAGACTGTTGATAGCATCGGTGGCCTTTTGAGCCCCTTGTGGGTCATGCCACCTGTTGTAGACGGACCGTAAGAATTGTTCCATGTCTGGGCCCTGGCCCAGGCATCGAAATCCTGACCGTAGCCCTGTTGCTGCACTAGGCCATTCAACCAGCGGGCTGCTGACCCCTCTGGAAAGGAGGCAGCCACAACAACTTCTTGCTCTGGCCTGGTGAGCTTGTGCCTCACGTAAGTAGGCACAGTCCTCACCCAGGTGTCTAAGTCCTCATCCTTCTTCCTATCGCCAGAGAAGGGCTTAGGACTCATCAAGGGTATCTTGGGCATCCATTGCATAGGCTGCATGGGCTGCATGGGCCCAGGAGCCTGCTGCAGCGGCTGCATAGCCACTGAAACAGCCTGCTGCACGCTAACCTGGGCCTGGCTTGACAGTGGGACTGTAGTAACCACTGTCGTAGATGGTACGGCTGAGACTCTATGAGCCGGACCACTAGTTGCTACTAAACCACCTGGAGGGGGTATGCCAAACATAGGAGAGAAAGTTGGCCCTGTGAGTTGTGGCATCGATGAAGGACCCGCACCTGCAGGGGGAACTACAACAAACTGTGGCTGCCTCATCATTGTACGAGGAGCCCGAAGTTCGGCCAGGTTTTGTTTCTGGCCTGCAACCAATTCGGCCAGCAATTCCTGTTGGACATTCTGCGCTTCTGCCACCGATAGTAAAGCATTACACAGCACACGAACAACAGGGTCTAATGCCGCCTCATCTAGTCCTTCCAGTCTGCCTAGCTCCTCTCTTCTACTACCTAACCTAGCTTTTCTTAGGATTGCTTTCCTTCTTCTCTCTGCTGCCTCATCCAATTGCCGTTGTAGCTCATCCTGAAGTTCTTCTGCTTGCCGGATTTCTAAATCCTCCGGCGTGAGTTGAGTCTGCTGGCTGACTCGCAAGCTAGCAGTCTGACTAATGGACCCGTGAGAACCACTCTGACTGACTCCTGACGAAGTGGACTATGTAGAGGTTTGCGACATAGATGAGGTAGCCATGGTTGCGCCGGTGCTAGCTGAAACTCTAGTCCTGGCACGATCCTCAGCTGCCCTCGCTCTTCTTGCCGCTGCTCTCTCTCTAGCCTCTCTCCGCAATCTTCTCTCGTCTCCTGGACCTAACTCCAAGAATGTCAAGGGTCGACTACGAGCAGTCCCACGAGTAGTCCTACGGTCGTCCACTAACAACTCCTCGCTAGTGCTTGCATCACTCATGAGCCACAGTGTGTGTGATCTAAACTAGAATCCACACTGAATCCTACCTTAGCCTGACACACAACCGAGTATACTACACAACTGATTTCGGTCGGCCTGAACAGAAACAGTTAGGTGATGTAACAACTAATGTCATATCCTACAGGAAATATTATATCTATTTTTAGATTACCCTAGAACAAATTGCAATACAACAAAGATCTAATCTGTCTGTAGCTGTCTGTCAGTTGTTAGTCAAGTCCGTAACAACTAGATAATAAAAATAAAAATAATATCTCCTGTTGGAGATGTATGCTTGATGGCAGATTGTCTGTTTGATTGCCACTGTGAACAGTCACCGGAATCCCCCCTCCCCCTATATCCTTCTTGAGTGGTCACTTTGTGTCAACGTCCTGAGCATCTGGTTGAGCAGCGAGCCTAAAGGTGTGCAATCCGGCCCACCCCTGTGCCCCAAGTCAACGCCGAACCTGCCAGCCCCTGCACTTTATTTACCCTCACATGCAACGAGCCTTACACCCGGTTGATCTGGCTGATCAGGATGGATTTAAGGAGAGCCCCCATCTCCTCAGGAATTATTTAACGTCGCAGACAGGACGACGATGACAGCCAGATTCAATTCCGAGTCCCCAACCAGAAATGTTTAAAGACGGTCTGGTAAGCGTCTATCAAAGGGCTGGCATGACCTGCATGACCTCTATTGCGCAAGCAGCAGAACCAAGGACTTGCGGCAAAGCATGCGTGTACGAGTCCCAGCGGGTTGGCATGGTGACCGTGACCCGAGTGCTTCGTCCAGGGCCCTTCACAGGCTTCACCCGTGTCCCACCAGCTTGCTGCCCAGGAAGAATGTCAACTCTCAAGGTTGAGCGCTCACGACACCTCACATTGAAAGGACTCTCAAGACAGAACTCACTTCCTCACGGTAAGAAGTAACGAAGAGGGTAGATAAGGAAGAGAGCAACGTACTTCATAAATGCTGCCCCCAACCACAGATTTCTCACCGGCAACCTGATGTGCAATTATGATGACCGGTCTTTGCCTTGGCACAACCAACAGCAGAATGCGGTTCCACCACGGCTTAATATGCCACATCAGCGAGCTCTCATCATCCAGCATACACCCCGTATGTCACCACATAGCTCCCTGGCGTGCCCACACTACCCTGGGCCACCTAATGTTCAACGCCAGTGCCTTATCACTGCCCCACACCTCATGCGAAGCACCAATAGCTATTGCGAAGAACTAATGAAGCGCAATATGAACCAGCTCTGATACCAAATTGCAAGGAAAATAAGCAACAGCGAGATGACAAATCCAGATCACACCATCACATTAAAAGCCAGATAGTCACACTGTGTCCAGAGAGCAGCATTGCACCAATAATACACCAATGGAGGTTCGTAGTACTGAAAACCAATGTCATGGAGAGCTTTCTCTCTCCTTCAGCAACACAAGAGTCCAGTCCCTTCACACTCCTACTTGGCGCTCAGCGCCCAGCCTACTCCTACACAACGACGATCAGCCTAATAATAGACAATGCAACTGTTGACATCACCGGCAACCCGAAGTACTTGAAGATGTCGCCCATATGCTGACCATCACCAATACAAGKTAAGTGCCCTCACATCATCATCATCATCATCCTTTGCCCTTCCCTRRCTTAACACCCACACCTGTCCTCTCTTGCACCCGAAGACCACCCCTGYGCCTCACTGTGTATCCAAGCCGAGCCCRCTRTGGAGGCTGGCTATGGCGCTGCCCTCARCAGCKCCCTGCTCCCACACACGACCGCACRTGYGCAGCCTCTTGCTCCAATGYCGGCAGCCAGCCCGCGAGCAATCGYTCCAGCAGCGCTGCMGYCAGCCAGCAAGTGACCGAATGCRGCTGCCAGCGGAGAGCTCTTTCCTTTATGGAAAGAGCTGGCCTGCTTGCCCTGCCTGGCTGCCCTGGCCTGGGCCCAGAAGCTTCCGGAAGGCCCCAAGAGGCTGCCTGTGTACANTCCTTTATGGAAAGAGCTGGCCTGCTTGCCCTGCCTGGCTGCCCTGGCCTGGGCCCAGAAGCTTCCGGAAGGCCCCAAGAGGCTGCCTGTGTACAACAGCTACTGGGCTGCTGGGCCTCGTTCGGTTGGGCGCACAACTGTCTCTATATGAGGCTGTGATTCACGCCCAGGGCCTGCATTCTTTGGAAAAGCCCAGAGGGCCGTGGAAATGTCTTTGTGGCCCGGCCTGAGTTTCTCTCAACCAACTGGCGCGTCGCAACTGCCTGGACCCCAAATATGAAATTGACAGTAGGGGGCCTCTTGCGATATGTCAGGCCCGCCTTCACTTGGGGCGGCACCTCCGCCTTCACTTGGGGCGGGCAATGCTGCAAACAGGGCCCCTTAGGCCTACCGAGGACCTTGATCCTCGCAATACATAGGATTAATCATTTCTTTCTCAGCATTTCTTCTTCGAAATTTGAAAACAAATTTAATTCATTCTTTTTCGAAATTTTGTAATTCAAAAATATTTTAGAATTAATGTAACTCTTTTTCGACATTTCTTTTTCAACATTTGTACTTATTTTTTTTTTCAAAATTTTTGAAAATAGATTAGAATTAATTAAATTCTTTTTCGATATTTCTTTTGGAAATTCAAAAATAATCATAATTAATTATTTTCCCACTATTTTAATTCACAATTTTTTTTCGCAATTTTTGTGGAAATTCGAAACTCTTTTTTTTTTTTTTTCCCTTTTTTGAATTCAAACATAATTTTAAAATTAGAAGATACACCATGATCAATTAATTCCTTTCCACAATTCTTTTTCGAAATTCTCTTTCGAAACTCTTTTTACAAATCAGAAGTACTTTTCTTTTAAAAATGTTATTCTAAACTCCTCAATTAATTTTGACTAAATTCAATTAATTCACGACTGAATTAATCTTTTTATTCGAAATTAATTATCCTTTTTTTGAAATGTCGACATTTTCCTTTCAAAAAATTCCTGCCAAATATTTTAAAATTTCCTCTTCCTAATTCTTTTCAAAAAAAAAATTCCCCGTAATTCGAAAATGTTTTCTTTCGAAATTTCATGCTTTCTTGTATCGCGTCACCACGCTCGAGGGAAACACCCCCGCCATCACGGTCGTCACCACGACCACACCCCCCTCCTCCACACCCCAAACCACCCCCTCCTCCGGACAAGCCTTCGCTTCAACCTCCACATCAACATCACCGCCATCTTCATCCACCACTACCTCCACCGTGGCCACTCCACCTCCCCTCTCGCCCAAGGCCACAACCCCCGCCGTCACACAGCCATCAACCATCTCCCCCCAATCAAAACCCCTCTTATCCACCTCCACTGTCACCTCAAGTATCCCCAACTACACTCAGATTATCCCACACGCTGTGTATCTCGCTCCCCCACTACTTCCCCCAAATGCACTCATCCCCACCAACCCCACCAATGATTTCACCCTGGTCGACTCCCCCACCCCCACCCTTGATTTCAACACCCTTGCCTCCATTAACCCCCATCATTCCGCGTCAAYGAAATCCCCACCTTCTCGGGCCAACCCCATGAGGATGTCCTYCTCTTTCTCACCAAACTCCAACAAGCCTTCTCCCTCCACGGCATCCCCGTCATCCACTGGCTCCCCATCGCTGGCGGCCGACTTCTGGACAACGCGGCTCGCTGGTGGTACACCGAAATGTCTAATCGCCACCACTCCGGTCTCCGGCCTCACACCTTCCTTGAGTGGGCCACCCTCATCACCTCCACCTTCCGCCCACAGAAAACGGTCGACGACTATATCGACCAATTCTGCCGGCTCCAACAAAACGGCCCAACCGACCCCTCACTTCGCCAACATATCCCCATTGATGTCGTCAACGACTTCGCCTTCATCTCCCGCGTTAAGCGCGTATGCCGCAAAGACCTAGCGGCCGCCCTGGTCCACGAGCCCCCCATGACCCTCGCCGACCTCCTCACTCGTACCCTCCAACTCGATCGCATCCTCTCCCCCTACAAGACCGCACTTACATCGGCCCCTTCCCGCCCTCGCTTCTTCCACAACATCGCCTCCGAGGACACCACCTCCACCACCTCCTCGGACGAGTTCACTACACCGGACCCCGATGCATCTTCCGATTCACTCGATTCTTCATCCCTCTCTTCCGAGGAACTCAATGTCGTCCAATTCATGAGGATGGAATGCAAAGATCGCAGCTCTCGACCACCTTCATCTACTCCACCCTCCCGCCTCAAGGAACTCACCCCCGAGGAGCGCACCTACCTCCAAGCAAAAGGGGGTTGCTTCCATTGTCATCAATTGGGGCACCAACAAACCAATTGCCCCAACGCCGCACAATTCACCCGCCAGTCCACCTCCACTCGACCTGCAACTTCCGCATCACCGCCCTCGGCAAGCGCGGGTCCCTCCTCATCATGAACACAGTCCCCAGGACATTGACCCGGCATCGACACCGCGTCTGGCGGCCCACCCATCGGCGACGTCCTCCGTCCCACCGATGGCTCATTTGGCATCTGCCAACCCCTCCTCTGGTGATGCACATCCCACCGGACAATATCCGGGCGTCGCAGTCTACTCCGCCTGCCCCCCTCCCGATGATGTCCCCTATTCCATCGGATGAACCCTCCACTGCCACGTGTTCTTCCACCCTCCTCCCTAACCCATCTGCCACCACTTTCACAGATCTTGTTGAGGAACGAGCCCGACATGATCGGCTCATTAGGCTAGGCCTCGAGCAACGCCGCCTCAACACTATGATCTCCTCTGCTTGTGCCGGATCCGCACAGTTCCAACTCAAGTTCGTTCCCGTTTCCCTCGGTGCATCGACGGTGAAGTTCCGGGCCCTCCTTGATATTGGCGCCACCGACAACTTCATCACCAATGACTGTGTCCACAAAGTCGGCTTACCTTCCACCGGCTATGACTCCCCGATCATTATCCGCCTAGGGGATAAGGACTCAACCGTCGTCGTCGATCGCACAGTCCCCGAGACCACCATGACTGTCGGCCCCCTTCGCAGTCAGGTCTCCTTCGATGTCATGCACCTTATGTGCGACATCGTCCTAGGGACCCCGTGGCTTGACCGCTACATGCCCTACTCATTCCACCCCTCCTTTGTCCACCTCACCAAACCTCCCGACTCTCCCGTTGACATCCCTTACCTTCTTCCCCCTTCCACCCCACCCCTCGTCTCCCCACATCAATTCCCATGACCCACGTTCAACTTCTTCCCTCATTACATCGCTGCTACACCCAAGGTTACCTCTCTTGCCCAGACTTCGCTTCCCTTTACTACCAACTCCGCAACCTTAACTCAGTCCCTGACTACTCTCTCCATGACAATCTACTCTACATTGAAACCAAGGGCGCTCGCCGACTCTGCATCCCTGACGCACGTGGTCTTCGTACCCAGCTCTTGGCCGAGCACCACGACGCCAAGACCGCTGGCCACCTCGGTTTCCAGAAAACCTTCGACACCATCTCCCGCTACTTCCATTGGCCTTCTCTACTCGCCGACGTCAAAGCATACATCCGCTCGTGCCCCACTTGTCAGGCCGTTAATCCCTCGAACCGGGCCAAGCCCGACAAGCTCCAATCACTGCCCATCCCTACCCACCGGTGGCAGTCCATCTCCATGGACTTCGTGTGCGGCCTCCCCAAGACCGACCGTGGGCATGATTGCATCTACGTCATTGTTTGTCGTCTGACCAAACACGCCCTCTTCATTCTTTGTACCACATTGCACAATGCCAAAGACATCTCCATACTCTTCTTCGATCATGTCGCTCGCCACGATGGTCTTCCCGAGAACATTATCAGTGACCGCGATCCCCGCTTCCTATCACAGTTTTGGAAACACCTCTTCCAAGCCTACGGAACCACGCTCAAGTATAACACTGCATTCCACCCCCAGACCGATGGCCAGACAGAGAAGATGAACGATACTCTCCAAAGAATTATGCGGAAGTATTGTCATCCACACCAACATGACTGGGATCAATTGCTCACAGCCGCCGAGATTGCTTACGACAACGCTGTCTGCCCCTCCACTGGTATGTCCCCTTTCTACCTCGACCTTGGCTACCATCCCCGCTTGCCCTCTGATTTCTTGCTTCCCTCGCAGCTCAGCCCCTCCACCCSTTGCCCCTCTCTCAATGAATGGGTAGSAACAATGAACARACTCCTCARAGAAGCAACCGAAGCCCTWGAAAGAACACAAGAACAACAAGCCAACAAGACTAACAAACACAGACGTGACGTGTCATTCAAAGTAGGGGACAAAGTCTGGCTTTCTGCCAAACGCTTTGAACCCGAACAAGAAACTCTCGAACAAGTGGCTCGGTCCCTTCCCCATCATTGAACAAACCTCTCCCATGAATTACAAACTTCAGCTTCCACCTGACATGCGTCGCGTCCACCCAGTCTTCCACGTAGAATACCTCAAGGAATACCACGAATCCCCGCCCCAGTTCGCTGACCGCCCTTATCCTAGACCTCCACCAATCATGCTTCCAACAGGCCCAAAATTCATAGTCGTGTCAATCATAGGACGAAGAACAACTCAAAGTATCAGATCACCCGGAACCAATCACTGAATACAAAGTAAAATGGACCGGATACCCTGATGAAGAATCAACATGGGAACCCCTTGATAATCTCAAGAATGCCATGAAACTTGTTCGTGCCTATGATGGTGCCTACCCTGTATCCTAGCTATATCCTGGCATAAACCCTAAACCCTCGCTTAAAACCCTGCTACAACCTCACAACCCTGCTCTACACACACGCTTCAACCCAGCCCACCCTCCCCTCGACCCTGATTCCTGATGTCTGATCTGCCATTGCCCTCGCCTAGCCTTGTCCCATTTGTCCTCTCCACTACCTTGTCTCCCTTGTTCAATGCTTGTGGACCTGCGTGACGACGGCGATAAAGGATCTAATGGCAAACACACGAGGACGATGGCCTGCTGCCTCACTGATCATGGAGATTATACAGCTGGTTTGGCCACCATGCTGTTTCATCGGCCGGCATCCCGACTAGCGGACTTACTGGAGCAGCAACCTGTGACATGGATCTTTGCATCAGTCTGCGACTTCCTTGCTTCCAGATCAGACCTCATTGCAGTTCGTGTACCGGACGCACTCTAGCACTTGGACTTTGGACATGTGAACCACTGCTACGCTTCTTGGACTTCTACCTGCCGCAGCCGCTGAAGACCGCTTCTGCCACCTACTCCAAGACCTGATCACGACCGCTGCAGATCCCCTTTCAAGACACTTGGACACTTTGTTCCTACATGAGACTTTGCTTCCCATTCCTTCGGACATTTCATTTTTCCTGACAACCCTGCAGAACATCATTAGAAAATCCCTGTTCCGCTAACCATCGTTTCCCTTACCCACTAGAACATCAATAGAAATTCCCTGTTTCCCTGACCATTGTTCCCCTTACCCACTAGAACATCAATAGAAATCCCCTGTTTCCCTGACCATTGTTCCCCTTAYCCACTAGAACATCAATAGAAATTCCCTGTTTTCCTGGACATTGTTTCCCCTTACCCAGTAGAACATCAATAGAAATCCCCTGTTCCCTGAACATTTCTTAGCTTCCCCCTGTAGACCTACCCAGTTACATCATACCTTCACCTGTGCAGAACATCTGACAGAATACCCTGTGACTTGCATCACTCCCCTTCTCCTTTTCTGACCAGTAATCGGCCCCGTCCCGTCCTTCACAGTTCCTTTTTGTTTCCTTAGGTTTTTGGCAGCCGGGACGTTGCCTTTCAGAGGGAGGGGATAGTGTTACGGACTCCGCCAGGGCTCGATCCCTGGTCTACTTTTTGCTGTTTCTGCTGCATCCCGTTTTTGGCCTGGCGCCCTTTTTCCAAACCCCTCCTTTGGTACCGTCGGATTTTGGACAACTGGCGCCATGCTGCAATTCGGGCGCCACTTTCAAATGCCGCATTTTTCATTTCTGCCCTCGGGGCTTTTGCAGAAACGCCCCTTGTACCGTACGTGTCACCGGTACTTATACCGGCTCCCCGTGCGGTACGGGAACCAGTCTCGTACCAGTTTTCCGCTGCTGTACTCGTACTCAGTGTAACTTGCTGTTTCGACATTCGGAATCCAAGACTTCGACTTTGTGCCTTGCCACTGTGTCTGCGTCCGACCCTCAGTCTGAGTCAGTCGTGTCGAGTGAGTGAGTGTGTGTGTGTGCTCTCACTCTCTCCCACTCTCTCTCCTCTCCCTCGGCTCACCCTCAGCCTCACGCCCGTCACACCTGTGCTTTTTTGTAGCTCATTAGGCTGGCTCCTCCGGCAGCTGGTGAGTGCGCCGCGCTGTGTGTGAGGCGGGTGCTTGTCGATGGACTTGCCGAGTCGCATTTTTCTGGTTAGTGTTTTAGGACATAATATGTGCGGTTTGTGTTTGTGCATGCCATGTGTAGGTCGTAAGGGGAGTGAATCCAGGACCAGAGGCTAGGGCAAGGTTTACTTACGGGGGGTGAGTTCAGGGCCGGTGTGAGGGGTATCATATGGGTGTTTTTCTTGTGTGTGAGATCCGTAGGAAGTTTATCTGTATCGGTTTTTACTGCTAAAGGCCAGGGTTCATGTGGGGGCCACGGGGGATACGATCCTATGTTCCTAGGTGTGCATATTCATTCCCTTCTTTTATTTTGTGAAGGATATAATGATATATGCATATACGCATAGATGATAGACCTATATATATTTGTTTATTCTATTCATGTATGAGTGTATGTGTGGTTTATTTGTTCATGAATTGCCTTTTAGTTAAAATTGAAATATTTTGCTGGCGTGACGAAATTGAGTTTTTTATTTTCAGCGATTTGGGCCAGATTTTGAAGTTTCCGCAAGATGGTATGTATGTCCACAGACGCCGTACCTTTGGAGGTAAGGCGTCCTAAGGATGCCGTACCTTCATCTTACATGCTCTCAATTGATTGTTTGAGTGTTTTGGATGTATCTGGTCGCTTATACGACCAGATTAGCATATTGCAAGGAATATGAGTGTGAGCAATATACATAAAACCAAGTTGCGAAATCGCACAGCTGAGCAAGTAGTAGTATCCCGAGTAGAGAGTACAAATGCACCGAGAAAACCATCCATAAAGAGCAATACAATTAAGTATTGAGCCAATGTCCAAGCCCGTAGGCCACACCAACACAGTATCCAGAGTCGCTCTCTCTGTCTGGCGCACAGCGCCCAGCCTACTGTACCATACTATCCTACACTACAGCTGGTTCACACAACAGGATCACTTCGGCTCACGAAGACCAATGTACATGACTGTCCACACCATCGGCGACCTCTCTTCATGTACCAGGTACGTATCTCGTCACCCTCAATCAGACCTTGATTACCCCACACAGCGCCTCACTCCCTTAAGACCACCCGATCATCCGCTGTACCCCCTGGCGCCAAGCAGCCCGGCTATGGCCACCTGCGCCCCGCTGCCCTGCAGCGCCCCACTTCACCTCTCGCGCCCCGTCAGCGCCCTTGGCAGCAGTGCAGCATCAAGCGAGAGCGCAGCAGCACTTCCACATTGCCAGCGCTGGCCAGAATGCCTGGCCTGGGCTGTCTCACTTCCTTTATGGAAGTGGCAGCCTGCTGCATGCTGCGTGTGGCCTGGCTGGAAGCTTCCAGAAGCTTCCGGTTGGGCATCAGACCCTGTGCCCAGGCCGAGACTTACAGTTGAGGGCCTGGGCCCTTTACAGTTGGGCGCGGCCTGAGTCTCAGGACTTGGGCTGTTAGCTGCATCTGCGCAGGGCCCCCAGGTAGGTGCAGCGGCTGTACTGCTTTTCCAAAGGCCGACGGCCTGCTTCTCAATGTATCGGCCCTGCTTTGGTGTATAGGTGCCCAGGCACAACTTTCGAGGCCTGGGCCAACTGTATGGTGTAGTGAGGCTCGCGCGTTCACTCAACCAACTGACGCGCTGCAAGAGCCTGAATACCCACATATGGAAATGTCGAATTTGGCCTGTGACGAATATTCAGGCCCGCCTTCACTTAGGGCGGGCACTTGGCTTGCTGGGGCCTTGGCCCAGAACAATGTGATGTCTGATAGGGCCACTTGAGGGCTTGTTCTTCACAATATGCTCATTGGAGGATGATTAAACCACAATACCCTTCCATTGTCACATGCTGTGGTCAGTTCACTCATCGGAGTTGTGCTGGTGGTTTAAGGGACAGGTTTCTGTGAGGTGCCTTCAGTGTTTTTGATTGAACTCCTTTCAAGGAAATACATGACCACGTGAGCAAAAAGTTGACAGTGTAGAACCTGATGGTGTTTCATCTTTCCAAGTCCGCAGTCAAATAGCATGTGGGTTGCATGTAGTCCCCAGTTGCAGTTAGTATCCAGGTTTTGATTGGTGTGGAGGATGGACTTGTGCTGTAGGATGCGATAGTGGTTCAACTTGTGTATGTAAGGGGTTCGTCTCCTAACCTGCCAATGCTAACCTATTAAGTGGCACTGACACATTCTCTGATTGACTGGAACTTCTGCAGGTATTCACAGCCCTATTTGCACTTTACAACAAGGTGCACATGAGCTGCATTTGCGAGCCTACCTGGTCAGACAATGGGGTGCTGATGTCAGACCTGACAATCGTGAGTGCATCCGTCCGGAACCTTCTCGCAGTGAGGTATGTATATGGTAGGCTGTGAAGTGCTTTGGAACCTTAGACTGTATTTAATGTGGTTCCACATCAGGCACATCTCAAAATAAAGCTTCAAGAACGTGGTGGCACCAAAGTGAGCACACTGCAGGAAGGAAGTAATGCTTGACATGCCTATGCATTGGTAAGAGTGCAATGACTTGCTGATTTGACTGCTGTGTTCTGACTGCCAGGCTGTATAGTACAGCTAGGGTTAGATTTGCAATTTTTGTTTTCTCTGAGGAGTAACCACAATTTCAGTCTTTAGGAAATTAGTGAGGGGCATATCTGTAAATTTGCCATTTGGGAAATTTACAGTCATACCCTAACTCGAATTTCCTATACTATCCTAACTGCGAATAGCAGACCCGTGCCATCACGAGAATAGACAGGCCTACGGGCCTACGCTGACAGACTGGTCCTATAGCCTATAGCCGGGTAGGAAGAGTCCCTAGAGGCCGGAACTGAAACGGTACCGGTCAGTCCAGTCCTGAGTCTAGGTTAGTTTATTAATAGGACGGAGGTAGTGTAGCGATGGATTTTTGGCATTTCATTTCGTCGGTGACGCATGAGTTGAGCCAAGGAAGCAAGGAAGGTGACAATTGACTCTGGGCGGCATCCTGAGTCCCTCGTCAGGGAAGACAGCCATAGCCAGACCTCTGGGGCCCGCCATAGCTGGAGCGCCCTCCGCACACTCAACCCGGAGGGTGCTTGTGATCGTCTGGGCTATCAGGAGGCTCTACATAGCTGTGTGGGGATGGACCGCTGCTGCTGCTACTTCTCCAGAGTTCGCTGTGTGGCAAAGACAGTGGAGCTGCAGCCATAGCTGCAGCTTTGGACGTCAAAGACCCTTCATCTTCATCAGGAACTGGAGTGCTGGTCTCCTTCTTCATCATTCTGGTTGGCGCAGGCCTCTGGGAGGCGGTTTCAGTATAGCGCTGCTAACAGAGTGTAGGAGTTGGGGGTGGAGTGCGGGTTTCAGTGGTGGGGAAACACTGGGAGAGAACTCTGTAACGTTCAGTGTTGATATTGGCTCAAACTTGGTTACGTTCTGTTGTGATCCTCGAAGTGTCTTCTTATGACTGGTTGTTGGGAGTATCGTCAGAGAGGGAAACACTGTGTGTTGTCGTCACACTCTGTGCACAATTGCTTTCTGCTGTTTACTCTGTCTGTGGGCAGTGTGTACTCTGTCTCCTCTCCCCTTCTTCTTATGCGTGTATGGGCATGTGTGAGATTGTCTGAGTGTGAGTGTTGACTAAAATCGATAGACAACCAAATTCATAACAAGAGCATGAAGTAATGGAACTATATATGCATGTTACGAATTTGTTAAGAGTGGACTTTTTAAATGTTCCAAATAGAAATCCACTCAAAATAAAGTCCAAGTAATTAGCACATTATACACTTCTACAGCTCATGGTAAAAGGGCCTTTACCCGATTCAGCCCCTGTTCGAAGAAAGCAGCATAGAGGGGTACCTCGCCCAGAGCCCAATTCGTGAAAGCAGATCAAAAGTCATGTTCTCTGAGCCAAAGGTCACATCCTAACTAAAGCAAAAGACATTGTCAAAGGTCACGGTTGTGCCCCTGGACGAACAGTTGCAATATCTAAGTATTTGGGTCACATCTGTTCATCTAGGGGATGTACCACTCATGTCTATTCCTACACAGATGTGTCTGTACGTGCAGTCAAATGTGTCTGTTCATGCAGTCAAGGTGTCTGTTCGTGCAAAAGATGTGTCTGTCTAAAAGAAAGATAAAGAGTTCAGTCCTAGTTCAGATTCAAGTCAACAAGGAAGTCTAGATTCAGATTAGGAGTCCGAAATCAAGGCCTGGAGGCCGCAGCAGCAGTGACCCTTGAAGGAAAAAGGTCTGGGACACATACACAGAGGCTGGGACTGGGAAAGGACCGAAGACAGACAGGATTCAGCCCTCGTTTGAGGAGGCCAGCACTATAAGAAACGAGGCTGCCTCCTCCCACGACAGATTTTCCACTGGCATTAATGCGTGGAAGTGCTGCGGCACTTGTGCGCTAGCTGGGAGGACAGGCGCTGGCTGAAGTAGAGCTGCGCCAGGAAGAAGGGAGGCTGGGCGCTGGCTGCAGGGAAGCCATAGCTGCGCCGGCCATGTTAGTAGTAGAGGGTTAGTAAGTAGACAGCAGTGAGTGACATTCAAAGTAGATCTTCGTAGGTGAGAGTATACATGCAGAGTGAAGAGAGGGAACCAAGACATAGCTCTAGAGAGAGAGAGAGAGAAGACAGGGAGTAGTCTGGATATGGTGGATACTTACCTGTTGCGCCACACTTGAGATCTGAAGGAGGACGCTGGTAGATGCCAGGTCCCATGCTGTAGATGAGGAAGACTTACCTCTTGTTGGCGCTGATCTCTGGAACTCGTGATACACGTTGTATTCAATGACATTGATAATATAAGCTGCGCTACTGGTTCTCATCTCATCTCTATCTGGTTTTGTGTGAGACTATTTTGCACGTGTGATGACATTTATGCATGCAATGTGATGTTCTCAAGCAAGTTGGGAGCAAGTGAGGTTCCTTGCAATTCTGGTATCGGAGCAGATACTTGTTGTGCTCACTGCGCTGGCATGAGTAAGGCTGGCGAGAAGAAGGAGAGACCGCCGGCTTGTTGATTGTGCTGGCGATGGTGGGAGAGATGGTGGATAGGGATATGGGAGAAGAGTAGGCCGAAGTGGAAGGGGCAGAAGGTTACTTACCTGGAGCTTGGAGTGCGGAGCGACGAGGAGCCTTCATCAACGATCGCTGCCAAAGAGAGAAGCACCCCTTTCCCCTTACCTGGCTGTATGTGTGTGTGTTCTTCTTCTCCTTATCCTCTCTGGGGTCGCTGCTGCTACTGTCAAATCGGGTCACAGGGTCTAGAGTCTGGACGTTTGAAGTCAAAGGAACTTGTCCTCTTGGAGTTAGAGTGATCAGAGGATCGGAGTCCTTCTCTTCTCCAACCCTCTAGTCTGGAGTTTGCGCTATAGTTAAAATAGGAGTACAGCAGTTGCCACATCAGATACAAGTAAGATACCGAGTGTAGTCAAACTGGGTAAGGATAAGTGCGATGGAACCAAGACCCAGATATCTGATTAAGTGACTACCCTGCGCAAGAGAACAACAGACAGGGTTAGCATAAAGGAAGTGAAACAGTTCCAACCAGCCAGTGAACCGCAGAAGGTATCAAGCGGACTTAGACCCATAGCATTGTTTTGATCAGTTCGACATTGGATCCGAAGGCAAGCAGCAAGAAAAAAAAAAAAAGAGAGAGAAAGGTATATTATTGTATTTGAGTTTGAAATTCGTTATTGAGACAGTGACACCCAGAAGTCAAAAAAAAAACAAAAAAAAAACAGATAAAGCAAATTCCATCCATCCACACTTGTAGTGGTGTGAAGACCAGTTGGGAGGCCTACCTGGTGGGACCTGCGAAGGACCTCCTGTGCTAAGTCCCATCATGGTGGACGATTTTCCCATGCAGGGCTTGATTGCCCTGTCTGTGCTGTTGGGTCCATTGTTCCGAATGATGTTTCCCCTGGGCTTCGGGAGAGTGAGCACCTCCCGTATGATGACGATGAGATCAGGAACAGTGAAGCCAGGGCCCACACCGGCTGAGCAGGCTGAGATTGACCGCCGGCTGGCAGAAAAGAAGAAGGAAAGAGAAGAAAGAAAGAAAAAGAAAGAAGAAGAACTAAAGAAAAAGGCCCAGCTAGAAGAAGAAGAGTTAAAGAAGAAGTTGAAAGAGAAGCTGGAGCAGGAACTAAAGGAAGAATTGCAGAGTATTGAAGAAGAAGAAGAAGAAGAGGTTGAAGGAGGAGAAAGACTTGTCCGACGACATGCAGAAAGAGGCGAACCCAGCCAAACAGCGGGGGAACTGAAAGTTGAACCGCTGGACTGGTATGACCGATACGCCTACTCCACTGACAAACCAGAGGAAATGGAGGAAGAAAGAGATATATTCGTTGCGAAATTGGCGACTGTGACAGACCAAAGGGAGAGAGAACTCATGCTTGAAGAAAAACGCACTGAGCTGCACAGCAAGATGTTAGCAGCAAAGCGTAAAGAGCTTGATGATAGAAAGAAGTTACAGGCAGAGGGGGCAAGACTGCACAGCGAGCTGCAGGCACAAAAAGAAAAACAAGCAGCCACCGAAGAAAAACTTGCCCTCTTGACTGACACAGTCCTCCATACTAAGCAAGAAGTCGCCGCAATCAACCGAACCCTGCAAAAACTTGAAAGTAGTCAACATGAGTTTGAAAATGTCTGGAACACCTTTCTGCAGAAGTCCGCCAAAGACGTAGATCTGCATATTCAATCCTACATAAAGAAACTGGATGATCACATCACCCAAACCTTCACTCCGGCTGTGATCGAAAGTATAATACAGGGCAGCGGCGGAGGAGGAGGCGGTGATGGGGACGAGGATGGAGGCTATGGAGATAGGAAAGGAAAAGGAATACGGCGAGAAGAAGGAAAATTAAAGTTAAAATTCCATGGACCTACACAGGCAAGAAGGAAGAAAGCTTGCTACATTGGATGGTGGCAGTAGAGTCCTATGTCTATGGACAACGGATTCCATATTGGGATCGAGTCCTAATGGCCACTTCGTGTATGGCTGACGACGCAATGAGCTTTGCCATTTCATTACAAAAGGAAGCGGGATGTAGTTCAATGGTGGAATACTCCCAACAAACCCGTATTGAAGAATTTCTCAAAGCCGTCAGGGAGAGTTTCGAGGACAAAAACTTAGCCCGAAGAACAGAAATGCTAATCCTGAACCTTCCCGATAGAAAGTGGAAAAGTACGTCTGCGCTTAAAGCAACCATGGATGAGTTGTTGCAATGCACTGAACATGGATTGACCCCGGCTCAAGTCTTGAATAGCTTTGCACGTGCCCTACCGGACCCCGTCCGAACTCAATTATATCCCCGTACCAAAGAGGAGGGGATGACCTATGAGAAATTCAGCAAGATAGC